CATTTGTTTGGTCCGCGGAAATGTATCATGTGCAGAGAGGCCCTCAAATGGGGATAGCATGGCATGCAGCTTCTCTCTCATTGGGCATTCCGTACAGTTTTTTTTCCAGATGCGTTTTTTCTCCCCCCGGTGGGTGTCGCACAGGCAACCCTGACCTGAATTCGCAGCCCGGTGGTTTGGATTTGGATTTGAACGGGTCCCTGGGTCTTGAGGGTTTCCATGGGAAGCCCGGTCCATTTGACCAAACCACCGAGGATCAGCTTCCTTCCAATTGGTGGTTTGGAGTGGTTTGGCGGTTAAGGTGGGGGGGGGTTTACAAGAGCCAGGAGTTCAAATCCCACACCAATCCAATCCACCAACTGAAAGTTACCAGAAACAAGCCAAACCACTACATCCTCAACAAGAATCCCTCTACCAATCCAATCCCTCTACAAGAACAAGCCACCGGGTCCAAGCCACCCTGACGGGGTCGCCAGGTCTCCAGTTCGCGGGATTTGGCTTCAAGCCCTCGCAGGAGGCAAATTCGGCGATGCTTCGCTGGACTCTCTGCTCTTTGCTGGTTCCCTAGAGAGAAATTCCCTTTTAGATTCCTTTAAAGGCAAACCCTTGGTTCATTCCCAAAACCCTGGGTGATTCCCTACTGAGCACGTTCCGCTTACTTTGCTACTGTTGCCTTTGCTGTTGCATTTGCTGTTGCTAGTTTCTGTTGTTGCTGCGTGGTTATGCTCTTGCGTTTCTTCACTCTCGCTGTTGCTGTTGCTGTTTATTTCGCGTTGCTCTTCATTTTCGTGTGCTTGGCTTTTACTTGGCCTGTACAATTGTTTGTACTATGCTTGTGTTTTTCCTTGACTCTTGGCTTGCTTCTTGCTGTGCTTTGGCGTTTGCATTGGCTTGGCCTTGGATGTTGCTATTGCTTGGAAAAATTGCGTCGATTTGGCGCTGCTTGCCAACCTTGCATGATTTTTCGCCTGCTTCCATTCAAACTGACGTGCTCCCCCTGCAGCATCTCGCTTGCGTGCGAGATGCTCTTTGTTCCAGCACAATCAGCTGCATGTGCAAGGGCATGATCAAGTGCGTTTGAGGTTGTATAAGAACCCGTTGGCCCGTTGCCTTCAATTTAGTATTCGGCGGACCCTTGTGTCCGAAACTGTTCCGCTTTACCGTGCGACGATTAAGAGTTGAACAACAGTGACATCGATCACGAAGCAGCTCGGTCAGCTGTTCTCCGCGTGGTACTAAATTGTGCTTTCTGTACTACATGTGCACTGAGAAGTTGCGATGTTTGAGCTTCAGCTGCCAAAGAGTACTTTGCGTACTATATACACGTGTACTGAAACATTGAGATGTTCGAGCTGGAGCTGCTCAAGCAAAATGTGCGCAGTACATGGCAATGGCATTAGTGCTGGCTGTGTGGGGGAACTCACCTGTTTCAACAAAAAGGCAAAGCTCTGAAACACCGGCATCGTTGATCCGGTCTGAAAATGACACTAGCATCCAAACACAAAACAGCCACGCGCAAAAGCATGTCGGTAGTAAATGCAGTAAATTCCTGGCTCGGACACTGAAAACTACGGGCGGTGTCCCCCTCCGTACAGTTGGGCATGTATTGCTTGCTAATTTAAGTTGTTTGCTGGCGTTCTGGCTTCCTTGCTTGTTTCCTCCTCTTGTGGCTTGCCTTTTCCTTGCTTCCCTCCTGCCTTGCTTTGCTTGCTTGCCTTGATTTGCTATGATGCTTGTTTTGATATGCTTCCTAACGTATTTGCTCGTTCGCTCTGCTTCTTGCCGCGGCTTGCCGAGCCTTGCTTGATGATAGGGCTGGCCTGGTGGAATCTATGAACTCGGGCTGGTGTCGCATCACACGTTTGAACATTCCCATTTCTCATGGGAGGCAGTGCGGTTGACTGCCGTTGCTATTGAAGTGGGAGGCCGTGGTGGGTCCCCGAATGCACGCAAACAAGAAGTGATTGTGAACGCGCGGTGGCAAAATACAATATGATCAGGAGGCAACATTTTGACTGGTGCCAAAGGGGCTAGCAACAGAGACTCGAAAGAGGACAACAATGACCCGGGTTGATACTCCACTTCACAGGCGAAAGATCGCCTGAGTGCAGCAATGGACAAGATGGCGGACACTCGCACTGCATAAATGGGATTTTGTGGGGGTCTACAGAACCCAACCTGGTTGTGTTCTGTAAACCAACCTGAAAAAGGATACCCTCAAGAAAAGACTTTGCCAGGTGTTTGCTGCATGTTCATGCACTTGTGCCCGAGCTTGGCCATTTTTGTATGCAGTTTAGCCAACAAACTGCGCTTGATGGGAGCCCAAGCATATTTGCGTTGTCCTGTGATCCAGTGGTCAATAAATTTTGCCGGCTGGTTTTGACTCTGGTGCAGATGTTGCAAGTGCATGAACCCTGATGTGATGCATGGAAGCTGACACATGGCACTAGCATGGAAATGGTGGCTCGTAGCATGAAGACTTCCGTCTCATGTTCTTGATTGGTCATCATGACTTGCCATTGGAAAACTCTACACTAAGGAGAAGAAGAAGGACTTCTCGAGAAGGCGGAGGGGGTGAAACAGAGAGAGAGAGAGAGCGGAAAAAGGAACACAACACCAAACAGGACATCATAGTACAATGTGACATGTGGACGGGACAACTTACTCAAGTGTCCAGCTTTCTTTGCGTGGGCGGTTGGTTTTTCCTAAAGAATCCGCCTTCAGCGCGGCTAAAAAAAAACACAAGTTGCTGGCAAAACCGCATGCCAGGCGCGCATACAACGATGATGAGGACAGGACGTATGTCAACGCTAGAAACCGTGGCTTGGCTTGGAGTAGCGCTTTGTGCTGGAGCTTTGGCGTTTTGAGCTGTTCCCAATGCATGACATCAGATGGTTTCTAAACCAGTTCTGGGCATGAAAGTCTGAGCAATTGAAAGGTAAGACAAGTTGGTGTTGTTTGTTATATTTTGATGAGGATGATCTATCAAACTTTGCGTAGCTCATTGTGCACTACGAAACATGCCGCCTGGGAGTACCACTCGCTACTGGTATCGAAAAGACACCAGTGACACACTGCCAAGGCTTCTTCAACAAGAAGCTCGACCGCTTCTTCGGCGACTACACAGAGGCAGCTCGATCGCATCAGATTTTGTGCTCAAGAGGCGGCGTCTCAAACTCGAGCGACCCCTTCAAGTCAAGTGAACATGTTTTTTCAGGGTAACCCTGTTTGGATGGGTGTACAGGGAAGGCAAAAGGAAAACCCACAATTTTCGGTATCCCCTTAAAAAGAACGAGCCACCCATATGGGGAAAGACCCACGTTTTGGACCCAAAAACTCAGAAACAAATGCTTCAACTGATTCGGGGAAGGAGACGCGGCAGAACCTGGAGCGCGGAACGGCGCTCTAAGCGTGCGGCACTGAGGCCCAGGACATCTCTGAATGCAACTGAAATCAGCTGATCATGTGCAACAACTGCCTAGATAACTTCCTCAAGTCTTTGCTTTCTTCAAAGGACAGGAGTCTCCGACAATGCCTGATTGAGTTGGGGCTCGGGGTTGGGGGGGAATCATGTTTGTCCCACCACCTGGGATGAGTACATCTCTCCTTGGGCTCGTACCTGGGCCAGGCATCTCCTCTCGCACCACATTGCTCCTCTTCTCGCTTTTGCCCGTCTTCTCCCCCTCTCTTGTGCGCGGATGTTGCTCGCTTACGCGCCTCAGTCATGAGTCCCACAGTTTTCTGCTCGGATACATTGCTTGCTGGCAATTTGGAGCTTTGCTCAACTTGGGTCTTATAGTCGATTTGCCTTGGCAACTCGTCCCTGTTTGCCACTGAGGTTGCTTGGTCAATGATCTGCGGCCCTGCGTGGCGGAAAACGTGCAATTTGCAGTTTCCAGGTGGAGGTGATGCTGCCAGACAGCTTTGCAGGTGAACAGTACTCCCCGAAGTCTGGACGTTTCTTCTTCTGAGGGTACCCGTTTTGGGGGGTGGTTAACATTTTTAGGGGGAAGCACCCTTTTTCACGGGTCCGCTATTTTTGAGACCCTCTCTTCCAGCCGAACAATTCCGGTGCTTGACACTTGGCGAAGTGAGAAAGTTGTTGGTAAGCTGGGTTATCAGACACTATGCGTTCAATCCCCTAAGTGGGGTTAACCTTGTTATTAGAGGGTTATCACCCGGGTGGCTAACCACGCACTAGCTTGGCGAATCGAACGTCCAAGCAGCTCCTGAGAATCTAACTTTTCGCATGTGGGAAGGCTGAGCTGCTCAGTGAGAGGCACAAAACACAAAACCAAGGTCCCAATGGCACCTTTTTACCCCAGCTCGAAGGTTAGACAGGAATTAGTCTTGCGTTCACTTCTCTCGAGAGACATCACATTGAGACATGTCTCTGGAATCATCAGCAGCTGAGATACTTGCACAGATCTATTTCTCAAAGCTTGGCGCTTTTGGCCGTTTCATTTCGAAAGCCAGTTTCAGTTTGAGAGTTCCAAACCTTATAAGCCAAGCTTTTCACCTCATTTCGAACGCCAGTTCGAGTCAGTCGCTACCAACACCTTGGCTTCGCGGTTTCCGGTTTCTGGAGGTCAGACACATGACAGCCACCCGAGCCCAGCTTTGCGCCCCATGCGCCATGTCGGAGATCCCCACGGGAGTGCTCCGCGTCTACTTCCGGGACAACACGCCGCTCGGCCCGTCGGCCCTGGGAACGGCCGCTTCAAGAAGCCCCACGGTTTTTTTGCATGACATGAAAAGCTTGCAAGTCGGTTGCGATAGCTGGAAGACGAGGTTCTGTTAGAAGCAGAAACTTGCTTCTTTCCTTGCCACATGTGCTTTTGATTGACGAGGCTCACAGAAATTCCTGGGCAGATGTCCAGCACTTGAAGCACTGACGAAGTTATTTCCGCGCAGGCACAACACTGTTTCGTGGACAATGTGCCCGCCATGCAGGGCGGAAAGCGTCCCCGTGGTATGTGAATAGTAATCCCTGTAGCCTGCAATTATTTGATCTGGCGTTGTTACACTGACCTTTCTGACACAAGCCAGGAAGATAGAATTTCACTGCATGTGGTCCTTGTCAAGTTTTCTTGCCATCCTTGATGCTGCTTCCTCAAGTTATCATATCCAATGTTTAGTACTTGGGCCCACAGCTGCATTGATAACCAGTACGTGGCTAGACATCAATGGATATTATTCAGAAACCGCTGGGAGCTGTTTCCTGGATGCCCCTTCTATGTCGGCCTGCAGTAATAACGCTGGAATGCGAGAGAGTGCAGGTTCATGCCACCTGCGTCGGAGGTCCAGTTTTGCGCATGACAAGGTCAGCTCAAGAGAGTCTTGCTCACCAGCTCAGGTACAAGTCCTTGCAGTTGACACTTGAGACGTCTGTGAAGGAGCGGTTGACGGCGATTTTCGAGGTGATGCTTGATGCCCAGTAAGAGCTCTGTTTGCTTTCTGTTTTGCCCGACCAGGCAGGAACTCCCGGCAAGAGCGGTGGGAAGCTTTTCCGACCAATTTTTTCGGGCAGCACGGTGGGAAGACGTTCTCACCATTTGTTTGGGGGGGAGCACAGTGGGAAGATTTCCCTAGGATGATGTTCCCACCAATTTCCTAGGGAGCGCAGGGGGAAGATTTGTTCACCAATCTTGACGGGAGTGCGGTGGGAAGATTTCCCACCCAATTTTCCGGCGATCACTTGTTTTGACCAACCTAGAAAAGGGTACCCTGTTTTGACCAACCTAGAAACTGGCACCCTCAAAAAAACACGGCCATTTTGTGTGACCAAAAGTCGAGTGGATCCTTCTCCGCAGGATGTTATCCAGCGCCTTTGCCAGCGCATCATGGCCACGGGCCGGGAAGTGGACCCTGAGAGGCGACTAAGCTGTCGCTTGGAACGTCCCCTTGGAACGTCTGCTGTTTGGAACGTGCGAAACAAACTCCGGTATCAAATGCCAAGCACAAAGTTGAGTCAGTGGTTCTTGCGTCATTTCTCCCCCTTTTTTTTTCGCCTTTGTTGGGCAAATGGTCCAGTTACATCCCTGTTCCTTGTAACAATCTTCCTTGTAACGGTCTTGTACTCTCTCTTCCTTGTTAGGCACTATCTCTTCCTTGTAGCAATCTTCCACTTCTGTTTCAGCAATCCTGGCTGCTTCGTTGTTGTTTCTGTCGTCACGGCCACTTGCCGTGCAACGCTCGCGTTGGGAGGCACGAGCTGCTGATCATTGCCCCAGGGCCCTTGGGGGAGAGGAAGTTGCAGCCGGCGGACCGGCCACTGGCTATCCAGGCCAGCGGTTTCAGGGAGACAACGAGGCAAGCCGTAGATAAAATGAACCTGTGTACATGCATATGAAAAAAAACATGTGTATACATTGGTTAATGCGTTCATTTATGTCTTAAGTAGTGGTGTACATGCATATGCGACTCTTTTTTGTACACGCACACGTTGTTGTTAACGCCCTTCACACGGAGAGACACACACGCAACACAAACACATACAGACACGAGTTGGTCTCTTGCAACGGTGAGATGGGGAGTATTGTACATGAACACGCAGAACCACCAAGGCCAGTCCCTTTGCCAATTTGACGGGGTTCCTCTTTTTCCCACCCCAACCCCACGCCCCAGCCGGGGCCATCCTATGAGTGGTGCATGCACGGATCCAGATTTGTTTGCTGGGTTTGCAGATTTCTGTGTGCGGAGCCACGGCTGCGTGCGCAAATGAGCCAAATTGTATGTGTGTGTGTGTGTGTGAATGGGTGTGGGTGTGGGTGGGGGTTCGCACTCGCGCAGAAGAGACCCGCAAGAACTCCTTGGGGTTCGGAGATGATACATTGACTATGCGTCGACCCTTGTCATCCAGCGCACGACAAGAGGTGTCTGGGCAATTGCGTGTATTGCGTGATTTATCACTTCCTCGCAATCCCGACTGTGGCACGCCCTATGATGTTTGCATACGGTTTAGCTTATCAGTTGCTGAGCTGAACCTTTTTCCACTTGGTGCGCGTCCGGGTCCTTGCATGAGTTGACTGGGCAATCACTACCCATGCCTGACTGGATTTGAGTGAGCGTGTGTGTTTTACCATCGACTGCACGCGCAATTTGCCTCGTTGGTTGAGTCACGGTCACAGCTACGCGGCTGTAGTGGTCGCGGCGAACGCTTTTGCTTCTCTCCTTTCACTCAGTTGAGAAAGCTGTTGGCCAATGAGGATATCCAGGTGCACCAAATTTCCAACTAGGGCATGCAGTGTCCTCGGGAGGAGAAGGCAGGCTGCGCGGCCTACAAGTTCCTCTTCCGGGAGATTCCCAAAGAAGGCCGGGCCCCGAGTCGCTCGGCTAGTCAGACCCATCACCTTACCTGGCAAGATTGCGGCGAGTCAAGCTAGGTCCCCCTGGCTTCATTGACTTACACAGCCTTCATGTTGAAGTCGACACTCAAAACTACTCGCTTTGGCTGCGACTGGTTTGCGTAAGGAATCAGCAACGAGGACGTCGAAGAAAGTGTGGACCTCAGACACACAAGCGCACTGGACGGCAGGCTGCAGCCATCCCATCATCCCACCTGGGAGTGGCTGTGAGCGTTTTTTCGTTTGCTTGCTTTGGGAATTTGCAATGTGCCGCATTGCTTTGACTCCTACATGTTTTTGTCCGTTGGAGGCATTCCCTTAGATCCCTGATTTTGACATTTTGTCCAAATAGAACCTTGAAATATTGCCAAGATCCTGCTGTGTGGTATTGCCGAAAGGCTAGGGAGCCTCAGAAAGCATCAGCACACGCCTCAGCAAAAACGAACAGGAGGTCCAAGGTGTGGAGAGAGATAGGCAATCGAACAAAGAGGACGCCTGTGCTGTTTGTAGAGAGTCCAAACAGCTCGCGAAATCAGCGGAGAGCATACCTGCCTGATCTTTCTCTCATGTCGTTTTCCAGTCACCAAGGGGCACTGCCGCATGCACAGGCGCACATACAAATACACCAGACATCCCCCCTATCTTAGTCATTGGGACCTAGGGGGGGGAATTTTATTTTAAAAAGGACGTAGGGGGGGGTCATTTTATTTTCCAATTTCTTGCAAAACGCTACGCATTGGTTTTGTCTCACTCCGGCGCAGCTCTGACCCAGCAGCCAGGCCTGGCAGATCAGAGTGTTCCACTCACATTCAAACACACAAACATCCATGTTGGGCCATGTTGCGCTACAATGACTGATGACAACAAATGCAAAGACATGTAAATATGTATTCCCAGGAATCTCTAGGCGATAGCTGTTTATTTACCTGCGGCTAAGTATGCGAGCCTGCCTGCACGTGCGTGAGCTTTGCTGTTTGCCTATCTTTGCGCGCGCCTGCTTGCGCAGTTGCGCCCGTGGGTTCGTGGGTGCTCGCCTGGCACGCTTGCGGGCCTGTAGGCTTGCCTGCGTATCTGGCTGTTGGTTCTTTGCACGCACACTTGTTCATGCCCGTACGTGTGGTCGTGCTGATTTCAGAAATCTGCACACATGCAAGCACACCCGCTCACGTGCGCCCGCTCAGCACTACACAATTGCCCGCCAAATGGTGAGCACCCGCATACGCCGCTCATGCCTGTCACATGGTGAGCACACCCGCGCACTCGCGCTCGGTCAGCTTTGCGCACACGCCTGCCACATGGTAAGCACACCCGCCTCACGCGCACCCGCTCAGCACTGCAGACACACACTTGCCAAGTGAGAAGCACACCTGCAAGCGTTGCACACACACACACCTGCCAAGTTTTAAGCACACCCTCTCAAGCGCACCCGCTTAGCGCTGCACGCACGCCCGCCAATTGCTAAGCACACCCGCTCACGCGCACCCGCTCAGCACTGCACGCATGCGCCAAGTGCCGTGCTTGGGGAGTCCATGAGTTCTATTCGTTGAACAGGTTCCCGAAAATGCACAGCACCTAAGCGACACACAAACAGCCCCCAAAATCCATAACGTCCTTTTTGGGTGAAAATATGGAAGACTCGCACGGCACGTGGGCGAAACGCGTGTTTTGTCAAATCTCATTGGAGAACGACTGTCGAGGGCGCTCTGACTTTAAAAAGCGAAAACAACACTTCTTTGTTGGGGGGGTCTCGTTTTCATCTGTTTCGTAAAACGCTCACGACTACAGTACGCGCTTGGTTTCCGACTCGGCGGGCTACTTATCTGCTTCCCTGCCTACCTGCCTGCACACATGAGTTCCTGCATGTTTGGCACGAATGCTTGCCTGATCTTGTCTGCTAGAATCCTACGTGCTTGCTCGCGCATTTCGGCTACAGTGAGCGAAAGTGAGAATAGCAAGCACAAACTCCGTGCGTTGGGCTTCGATGTTTACAAGCTTGGGAAGGTAGGCAATGGGCGGATCAGTTACGCAGTATGGCACATCAGTTTTGGGTTAGCTCCGACATGCTTCGGCCTTGGCCGCCTGAAACCCAGACTTGGAGTGTGCATGAAACATAAAGAAACTGCTTCAAACGCTGTCACCTTTCTCTGAAAATGATGGGCATCCCGGAATCCGGCGGGCATCCACAGGCAAAGCTGCTGCTCTTCCAGTCCACTCATGATTCCAATGCGCATTGGCGCGCCTGGTTTGAGAACCAAACAAATCCAAACAACCCAAACAATATTGAGAGCAAACTTCAGCACCTTAAAAGACATCATGTTACACCCCAGACGCCTCTTTGAACGTACGCTAGCTCCTTCTTCAAATATGGCGCGAACTGCGGCCTAGCAGCAACGAGCATGTCGTCGCAAGGCAACCGCCAACACATTCCCAGTGGATGGACAAAAGATCCGGCTGAAGGCCGCTTGCTCGATCATCCTGCTACACCCTGTTAATACTGGCTCAAGCCCGGTCAGCCTGGTGACTGGTTTGGTTTGTTCACTGGCCTGCCCTCTGCATTCTCCTTGCAGCAGCCTGGCCTAAGCGCAGACCCCCCTCCCCCAGAATCGAATAACAACTGCTCAGGTGTGCGCAAACATCCGCACACATGGCTCGCGGACATGCTCACAAAACACAACCACTGCGCTGCCTGGCTTTTGGCAAACAATCCTCTGGCCATCTCTCGCGAAAGAAACCACGGATTGCAGCAACTTTGTGTTCAAATCAAGCCTGCGCAGGCACTCACTCGCCTTTTCAACTCCCCCACGGCGTGCATCAGCGTCCACCAAGCCTCCCCTAGCCTGGTATGAACGGGGCGCTGATGGCATTCACATGCCCCACAAAGACCCGCAGGTCTGACAATCTTGCAGCCAGCGCGGTCTTGTCTTCACTCCCATTTGGGACCAAGCCCACGAACTTGCTCAGTACCGTCTGCGAGAAATCTCGCCCGTTTTTCTCGCTGAGCACAACACAGAAGTAATCTGGCGCTCTTGCTGCCAGGATGGACCAGTTCATGTGCACAGTCTTACCATGAATCTTGATGCGGATTTCGCTCTTCGTGTTCAAGATCGTCATGCCTTGCTTGGCAAATCGCCTGGGCACCTCCAGCAAAAAGGCTTCGATGTTCTTGTAGCCTTGCTGACTGCGGCAGAAGTGGTGCACGGACCAGCCCTCAGCACGCACAGGCGCAACTGCTTTTGGCTCAGGGCCCAGGAGTGGAGCAGCATCTGCCGGCATGTGGGGCCACTCAAAGCCGTTCTGCAGCTTGCTGAGCATCTGCTCCTGCTCCTCCGTCAGTGTCACCAAAAGCAGCAGGCCCTCCGTGTTGACTGTCGCAGTGAACTCGCCCAAGACAGCCCCAACCGGGCTCAGCACATCGACCGGGTTGAGGCAGCAAGTGTACCATACGCCCGGCCTCAGCTTCACAAGCCGCTGCACGCGCACAACGCTTGTGCCGCTGGCGAACAGAGGGCACGGAACAGGCTTTCCTTGACGCAGCCGTCGGCCTCCATTCTTGCTTTGGCACAAAGCAGAGCGCCAAACTGTGTCCACAAGGCCAATCAGAGCGTGCAAACCGTCATGCCTTAGCAAACAAACATGGGAAGGAATGAAGCGAGCGGGGTAAAGCCGTTATATCTGACTGGGGGCAAAAAGAAGGGCTTTGTCACTTGACATTTCCAAGGGGGTTCCACTGTCAAGCCGAACACAAGGGCGGAGGGAGCAGCCTAGAATAGCCTGGAAGAGCGAGCTTTGAGCTTCCAAATGCCCTGCAAGTTGCTTCTCAACCGCAAAAACGGGACCAGGTCGGTTGACTGAGCTGTTCTTCCGCCCAAGAACTGCAGCAAAGCACCGCGAAACCAAGCAATCTGTGCGGCCTGAGGTGCCTGTAAGCTATGACTTGCGTGGACTCGCAGGACATTGGGCGATAAGATCGAATAGGCACAAGTGGCTGCTGAGCATCACCGCTGGCAGCTGAGAGGCCGCTACAAAGCAGCGAGCAAGCATCTGCTTGCGCCCGTGACCAGCTCACAGAACGAGCTACCTTCTGCCGAGAGAACGTGTCATGCTGCCTTGCCAAGGCTAGCTGATGAGACACGTAATTCCACTTGTTCGTTTTCTTGGCACCAGCCACCTTGATCTCGGCTTTGGAGAGGACTCCTTCAGCTTGCCGCACTCGCGTGCAGAAAGCTTTAATGCCGCCCTGCAGAAGCCTCAGCCGCCGAAGGCATCCAGCGGCGCCCTTGGCAGCTTCCGTGCTTTTGTCAAAGGCGGGCTGACAGCCAACTGTCTTTAAGACACAAGCCAGCGTTCGAAACTGTGAGCCTGGGCTTTCACCCGCGCTGTCAGCAGGGACCACTGCGGCCAGGTCCTCTGTTGTGTCTGGCTGCAGCTGCTGCGAGATGATTGCGTGGCACTGGTCCACCAAGACTGAGCGGTCCTCGGCAGCTAGCAAGGTGTCACCAGCGCTGCTGTCATTGACTGTGACCTCATGGGCTACATCTGAAGGTGGCACGTCGAATTCAGTCACGTCGATCTCTGCCGCAAAAAGGTCATCCTCAGGAAGCCAGCCGCCATCACTGGTAGCGTGAGTAGCTCCCTCGCCAGCGAACAGTTTCCGACCCTCTTTTGCCCAAAAGCAGGAAAGCTCTTCCAGCACAGTGTCCGCTGTTTTGTCGACCGTAATGTAGGACTGAAGCAGCGCTGCATCTTTGAGAGCCTGACGGGCTATCCGCTTTGCTTCTTTGGCCGGGACTGGCCTATGAAAGCCCTTGCTCGTGTTTACCTTCGGAGGGCACTCTCGCCACTGCTGCAAGTGACAAGCCTGCACGCCATGCACGCCATCTTTCAGAGACGGCGACCCTCGGTATGGAGCTTTGCACTTCGAACAGAAGTGCTCCATGACACGCTCTTCTCTGCAGTTTGGCGCGAACCTCAGCTCCTCGCTCCAGTTGCACGCTCCTAAAATGGCGTGAGCACAAAGAGCACAAATGTTGCGTGATGTTTGCAAAGGCAGGAAGTCCGAGCCTGCGCTGCGACTTTGGCACACGTTGAGCATGACCCAATAGTAACAGCAAAATGCATTGTAACAGACTTCTGCAGGGCTTGAGTCTCCGCAGC